CTATTTTCATATGCATGGGGACGAAAGCAGTACACTTAGAGCTTGTTTCGGATCTCAGCACTGAAACATTTTTGGCTGCCTTAAAACGCATGTGCTCAAGAAGAGGCCGACCCAAGAATATTTACTCCGACAATGGTACTAACTTTGTGGGTGCGGCCAAAATACTTCATCAAGATTTTCAGCATCATAAAACTTTTTCAACTTCAGAATTCTTCGACACTATTAATGATCTTAATATAGAGTGGCATTTTAACGCTCCTTTATGGCCTACCGCGGGAGGATTATGGGAAGCTGCCGTAAAATCGATGAAATACCACCTGCGTAGAGTCATCGGAGAGCAAAAATTAACCTATGAGCAGTTTTCAACTTTACTTACCCAAGTGGAGGCGTGCATGAACTCGAGACCTCTGTGCGCTTTGACTGAAGATATAGAAGATCTTGACTATCTTACCCCAGGACACTTTCTTACCGGTGGACCGATCTTGTCAATACCAAACGGCAACGATATTAATGAAGATAACTTACATTTACGAAACCGTTGGAAGCTGGTCGAACAAATGAACCTTCACATCTGGAAACGTTGGTCACAAGAGTATCTACAACAACTGCAAGTACGCAGCAAATGGCAGAAACCGACACCGAACCTGGAAACTGGAGATATTGTACTACTAAAAGAGAACAACTTACCCCCCGGAAAATGGGCCCTAGGAAGGGTTACAGAACTTCATCCAGGAGCCGACGGTCACGTACGTGTAGTCACGTTAAAATCAAAAAATGGCTATCTGAAACGTCCAATTACGAAAATATCAAAGTTGCCAATACAAGAGAAAAAGGTTGATGAAAAACCACTGAACAACACTAGTCGAACTTCGATCAAGATCAGTAAATGCAGCTTCGCCATTTTGACGACTCTGTTATTTTTCTTTGCTGGACCTGTAACATCGACTCATTTACCCCAGCCCACTCACCAAGTGCTTCCTATTGAAAATCAACCATTATACTTTGACGAGATGGGAAAAATGCAGCTTATACACAATGACTGGGCATTACTTATATACTACAATTTAACAACTTATTGGAACGCAATAAATCAAATACATACATGCATTAATCATATACGCGAAATTTGCAACCATGTAAAAAATGCACCTTGTGTCGCTATTGCGAATCAACTGGAACACGAAAACCGTTATTTAATAGAAAGAAACAAATTACTTACCTCAACACCGAAACTTAGGCGTAAGAGAGGATATTTCAACGGTGTAGGAAGCTTGGCAAAAACATTATTTGGTACATTGGATGAAGAGTTCGCTATAAAATATGAAAACGACATTGGTAATTTAAGAGGGAACGAAAATTATTTAAAACAATTGATCAAAAATCAGACTCTAATAATTGAAGCCGAAAATAATATTATCAAGAGAAGCGAAACATTCATGAACAATCAATTTGATTTAATGCACAATTTTATGAATGGAACACGATATGACTTACAACAAATTCAATCCAGAGTCGGCATGCTCTTTTTAATGAATGACGTCAACGCTATGTCACTAACCGCCAGCTTAATACTTTCCAACTTGCATAGGACTCAAGAGATGATGCTTGACGCATTAATCGATATATATAACGGCCATTTAGATATGCATTTATTTTCAACAGAACAACTTATGCAACAATTGACTATCATATCTGGTAAACTACCAAATGGATTGTCACTACCCGTCATGGAGATCCAGCAAGACACAACTGACCTATATAAAATCATTCATGTAAAAGCTCGAATAACAAAAAAATATTTTTTATTTGAATTGCATATTCCACTTATAAGTGACGAAGAATATATCAACTATCGAGTGATTCCCGTACCTTTCCAAAGGAATGCGAAATGGCATGCTATAGAAACATTCACGCCATACATAGCTATAAACTTCGCAAAAAATACATACCTAAATCTACAAGAAAGTGAAATGAATTTATGCACGCCATATCGTAAAGACAAATATATATGCCACATACAACAACCTATTTATAAATTACATAATACAAATGCACCATGTGAAATAAAAATATTCAATCAACAAAGGTCGCTATCCTGCAGTGTCAATGAAATCACGTGCAAAGATAATTGGATCAAACTACATAAAAGCAACATATGGTTATTCACGTGCTGCGATAAACACCTATTACGAATTTTATGCGGAGATCAAGTTACAAGCGCCGCAATAATAGGAACTGGACTTATCGCATTACAAGAAGGGTGTATTATACAAAAGGAAGACGCTACTGTTTACACATATAATCATTATGGAAGCGAGTTCAACTTAAAAACAAGTATGGAAATTCCTACATTTGAATCATCGATAAACAAAATTATGAATGCCACTTGGCACAATACTCAACTTGATATAAATTTCAAGATGTTGAACAATACTGAGTATAATAATAAGATCGAACAGAGCTTAATTGAACAAAAACTAAAAGAACAAGAGTCATTCCCTTTACAAACAAGCATGTCAACACACGATGTCTTCCATTATGTATTCTTTTGTGTTGTGGCGGGAGGAGCTACGGCGAGTCTTATTATATTTGTTATCATCCGAAGAAGAAGACGTTCACAGGTTGCCAAAACAAATAATTCACCTACGCAACAAGGTACCATCAGTCACCAACAAGATATAGAGTTACATGAAATAAGCGGACCCTCCTCCCAACAACCAAATGTAACAAACAAAATATTTAATTTTGATTAAGTTATACTTTTTTTATATTTATTTTAATCTATACACTTTACTATTTACTTTTGTAAAAATTTACTTTTTGTTTTATATATTTTCTTTTTTGATTTAGTTATACATTGTTTATATCTTATTTTAATCTATACACTTTACTATTTACTTTTGTAAAAATTTACTTTTTGTTTTATATACTTTCTTTTCATATTCCCTCGGGAGCATGTACGATTACGTACAATAACTAATTTATATTTACTGCTGACGTGCAACCTACTTTGGCGTGCGGTCAATAATCTTAGTATATTATATATATCGACATTAAAGTTAGTTGTAATTTATACTTGATCAACTCATGTATCTACTAACTAAACTTATCTACTAATTAAATAAACTTAACTATTTACACAGTGCAGTGTTTAACTTGAACTATTATTCAACTTTATCCAAACTACTATCAACTACACTCTTCAAGACCCCAACAGATTGACGGATTAAAAAGAATTTCTTTTCTTTTTTTTACCCGGTCATCATACCTATCATAATCATCAACTTCATAAATTTTTTAACACTTCATAACCCGTCTCTAATAGAGACATATTGGAAGAACTGACAATTACCTCGCGTTTTTATTTCAAATTATGTATCAATAAAATAGATTAAGTATAATATAATATTCATATAGCATAGCAGAAATATTGTTTGAGCATGATATTGGTTTGTATATTAGGTTGTGTAATGATTAGGAAATACTGGTAACGTAACAATTTAGTGTTATTCCCAATCCTCCGATGGTTTTCCGATTAGTAGGAGCAACAAGAGACACACATTACAATCTGGTAAGCACATCTTTCAGTATCTCTTTGTGTACTGTAATAAAGGTTGGTGGTTCTTGTCAGTACAAGGTTTCCAGTGATTGTAAAACCTTTTTTTTTTGTAGTCGACAAAATGCATTAGGCATAACCCCTGTCACCTGGTAAGCGACAGGGGGTGTGTGGGACTCTCCTCCACTTACCCATCTCGTGGCTATCCGCTCGGTGGGTACCTAGTCTAGGCTAAATACAGACGGTCCTCGTACTTACGGCATGCCAGATTCTCGAAATATGCGCCGTGAATCGGTAAGTTGAGACATATTTTTCCAAGGGTGAAATTCTGGATATCAACTGCATTTGTAACATAAAATATGCTTTATTATCAAAAGTCAGTTCTTAAAACATTTACGCACTTATGAGATTGGTACCTATTTTGGTACGTTGTTAGCTTTAAAATGAAAAAAATCTCATATTTACTTCTCTCAAAATTCGGAACGTCTTCTTCAAAAATTGCCATGGCAAGTGACGCAATATTTGAAGAGTAGTGTCAAAACATTGTTTGACGTAAGTCGAGGACTGTCTGTAAATCTTAATGTTTTGACATGACAGTTTACCTGCAGGAATCTCTAAATAGTTCACATTCGGTGTAATTGTTGAAATGCGGGCATTGTGGGCACACTTGGTAATCTGGCAAACAACATTATATCAATATCATCATCATCAGCCTATTATTTATTTCTTTTTGCACATGTTAACATATATCAAGTCTGTCTTTCATTATTGATCTCACTGCTGGATCGGAACACTGAACTTCCCTTCTGATAGAATCAAATATGGAAAACGTGCTGTAATACATTACACCAGGCTAGTGCGTATTAGCGGGTGTTAACGATTGCAAATGCGGCTATTTTTGTCACCCATCCTATAACCGAATCTTGGGAAATTGACTTAAATTCCGCAACGCAGACCGAACAAGCTATTCTTTGCGCTACAAGCTCCTCAATTATGGAACACCCGTTATATTGAAATGTAGAAGGAATTTATTTGTTTAATATAAGCATCTTTGGCAAGGGTCGGTTATAGGATGGATTACCAAAAAAATATTATCTCGATCTCCCCCGCACTTGGCCCTTGGCCTTGGCACTTGTTAACACCATGGCCTATTCTCTCTATTCCATTCGACTCCATCCATAGCGAAGGCCTGCGCCCCAGCAGTGTTGACATTAATAAGCATAAAATTAGATCATTAACTATATATAATCATGTACTGAATTAGTTAATAAAATATGTAATCAGGAACTTGGCGATCCGCCATTTTTAAGAGACGAACTTTTGCTATCTGCCTTTTAAATATATGACAGTCGTTCTCTACGCTGTATTAGATAGGATACTTGACACTAACAACCGGACATAATTAGGGCATCATCCTCAAGTCGATGTGAGCACAGGCTCGGATCTAGGGGAGCACCGGGGCACCTAAATTTTATGTTATACATCATTATTAGTGTGTATACAATATTGTTTTGTTTTTATTTCTCAACGGAAATGCTCCTTTTGGACCTATATCAAAGGGCAGATGGATTACCGGCTAAAACCCCATCGGCATACTGTTATATAAATGATATTATACCTAGCTGTCCTTTACAAATAGGTCTAACAGTCCTGCGACTAGGTATACGGACGAAAGAGTTGACGGGTCTGGCGTTTTCACACTTCTCATAATCTATGTCCATCTCTTTACTCCGCACTAGAGACAAAATCTCCGTTTCTCGCCAATACTCGCTGTTGTCCTGATCCTTGTCTATGAACGCTACGAATGGAAGGTACTGTAAAAAAGAGACGTTACTTATTCAACTATGAGGAGGCGTAAAGACAAAAAACTGTTCCTGAAAATAACATAATAAATCTAACCCGTCATTAAATAACATAATAAATCTAAAAGTTTTAATAACGACTTTACGTTTTAATGATACAAATATAAAAAATTGTATTGACTATCACCCTGTTGCACAAAGTGCATAACATTTTTCACAATATAACCGATACATTTAATATAGAACATTAATTATAGATTACAGTCATCAATAAACATTAATAGAATTTGTGCAACTGGATATAAATCGTTCAACTAACGACGATTTTAACGGATGTTTGTGTCACTGGGTATAGTCGTAAATTAGGACAACAGCTATTATAATATAAGTTACAAAATCTTAATTGTTTGGTGATTTCCATTTATCGATAGATATACGTACCATACGACTGCCATGATCGAGTGGTTCGCACGCCGGTTTCAAAGTGTCACCACCTCTGAGGTATCGGGTTCGATTCCTGGTCGATTAAATATAAAAAATTGCTCGTACACTGTCTCGGGTCTGGGTATCGTGTTACCTTTATTGTCTTAGATACTCCATAATACGAAGTCTTTTGCTACTCCTATTGAAATCTGAGTATGTGATGTTGTTTAATATTTATTATTACTTGTGTTTATTTATTATACTAGCTTTTGTTCACCACTTCGTCCGTGTAGTATAGTTCCTTTAGGCAACATTTCTAAAAACTCTCAAACAAAAATTATTCATGAATATAAAGTTTCATCTTTTACAACGACGAACTTCCATACAAACTTTAAACCCCTATTTCAACCATTTTCTCACAATAAAAAGCAACCATCTCAAGTCAACTGTTTTAAGTGAGTTAGGCGTGGTAGCTTAGATAACAGGCATATAAACAGACCTATTTTCTATATGTAATATTAAACGATTGTCTTTGTCGTTCATTATATAATATAATAAGAGATTGTCAGATAGTTACCAAAATTAACAGAGTAAAAACAATATAAATCACAATTGCTTGGTCGAGTTTAAACTCACAGTGATTTTTATAATTATTTAAAATATTCGCAATTTTATAATAAAATAACTTTGATGTTCAACTTCGAGGACACTATAACAATAAACTATATTTATTTATTTAAGGTACAGCTGCACATGTAATTAACAGACTTATGTCCAATATGTTTTAGATCTAAGGTTTCAGTTCTTTACCTCTGAAAAATTTTAAGTATTTATCCAATTTGAAATACAGATCGAAAGAGAAACACGAATATAAAGTTTGTCCAAAACTTAATCGAAAACTGAAATCTACGCAAAATTCTTTGAACAAAACGATAACGCAGTTTAGTTATGAATAAACGCCATCTCTATTATGGCAAAGCTAAAAGTTTTTTCTTACTACATGTTATTTCAAATCAAATCAAAGTATTTATTGGTCATAAACTTAGAAAGTTTTAACGGCCCGTTTCCGAATTGAGAAAAATATAAAATTTCAACTGATTATTCTCAACGACTTCAGTTTTTCACGTTTTACTTACATGGCAAAAAGTCCTAGATTTATCAAATTGCTATCAACTGATCGTTAAAAATAAATATATCAGAAGCGAAAAACTATTTAAGTGACTTTTAAGATTCGGAACGGAAATTTGTAAAAATCTGTTTTTAGTACACCTCTACGGAATAAGACGAATGTACCCTTAATTTCAAGTAAGACTAAGTTAGTTATATATATATATATACCTATATACCTATTTATTAAGTAATGAAATTCGTGTTTCTGAGAACGTACTCTGTTATTCTGAAATCTAAATTTTCGGCACGCTGTGATGAGTCTGTTCAGAGGCGGATTTACAGTCTTGGTCGCCCTAGGCCATGTAATACAAGCCGCCCCCTTTTTAAGCTCTCAAAATTTGGGCAATTGACTAAGTATATTGAAATAGATTTAAATTTGTTGTGTTTATATTGCTAAAGTCTGTTGTGTCGGATTATTCGTGCATCTGACATAGTAAACATTTGAGTAATAACAGAGTAATAACAACCCCATGAAAATAATTCGAAATGTTTAGAATTACTGATGTTTTATTCCCATTCATCTCAGCTCAGTATACACTGAGCTCAATATATACTGAGCTGAGATAAATGTTAATCTGTTTAAAGATTTTGTCTTGGATAATACTCGTACCCGGTATTTTATTATTCAGCTTTGGACACAATATCTTATGGCATTATAGGCCACCCCTAATATCTAGCCGCCCTAGGCCCGGGCCTATACTGTAGCCTTGTCACAATCCGCCACTGCTCGCAACCGACTAAATGATACTGTTGTGACAACGTCGTAACGAGTTTTTAGTACTGCACAGCTTGTATAATATACATTTATATTTTGTTTACCTTTGCATTGTATTCATCGGTATCATTATTATTTTCAACTGTTGAATTATCAGTTACATCAGGAATATCGTTAGTATCAGCGTTGTAAGCGGCAATTGCAACAATTAACAGCAGAAGTGCGAGTTTCATTATGATATTTTTGGGTTTTCTTTCCGATTTTGTAAAGTCGTACAAAATTCTTTGACAATTCTGTCAGTAATTGTGATTGATTATGATTGTATCTTTTTTTTTTCATTCACTTCATTTTCTATTCTATTCTATTTTTATTGATGGCAAATAGAGCCGGTGTCGACTATTCTGCCAATATCGGAAGAAGATTGTGTTGAGGGAGACCTTCTTGGTTTAAGATCTTTTTAATTAATTTAAAATTAAATATTGACAATCTGTTCTATTTGAAAGTTCTTTCTATCTGAAAGAAAAGCTATTGTCGGTGCTGTTTATATTTTATAAAGTATATATATTGGTGGTAAATAAACTCATGTGATCTAAAAGCTCCCTGGTCTTTCTCTATACCCTTTTTACCATCGGGTATTAGATTGGATAAACAAGTATATTAATATGAACACAAATGATTCGTAAGCTGGAAACGAAGTGACTATAGTTGTATAAATCTTCGATTGATACAGTTGGACTTTTTGTGTTAGTACTGACTGAAACAAACAAAAAATAAATATTATAATTGTTAGAACATTCAATATATACACATAACCACAATTGCATAGAAGTCAGAGCTCATAATTTGATGTTATTGTGACGGATGAAGGTCATCAACGCCACAAGTAGGTCTGGAGAGGGATCTACATGTAAAATTAATTTATTTACTTGACATTGGCAGAATTGTGCGAAATGCGCAGATAAGCCATTAATAAAAGAAGAAGAAGAAGATTAATTAAAAAAGAAGAATAAGATTCTATCTTAACAAAAGCTATGCTTTTTCATAAACAACGAGTATGATAACAAGGAGTACATTTTTTGCTTCCAAAGCAATATACAATATTAATCTATGTTCCAAAGGGTGCCAATGTGCCAATGGTACCCACGTATATTATATATCTTTTTTTATGAACTTTTATCCATCGAATTTTGATGAAATTCAGTATACGAATAATTCTCAAAACTCAATTAGTTTATAGACTTTTTATTCCACTAAATAGTTCCCCAGGGATCACGCGGACGAAAACACTGGCGGAATGAAAGATGGACATAAATGGAGGTTTCTAATCTATATAAGTATAAAGAGGTAAAGTTTCTATTATAACTTTGTTTGTTATTATTCTTTGGTAATGCTGATCCGATCATTAAAATGATTTCACCTAAGGAAAGCTACATCATACGCGAGTGACACAGGTTATAATTTACGTAGGCGAAGTCACGGTAACAGCTAGTAAATAAATAAAGACTATTGCACTACCTTTAAGACTACATACCATAGTATTTTTCTTCTTTACCTACTTACCTTCAAAATTTGCACACATAAGTCGCTTTCAAAATTCTAGACAGCGTAAACAGTTTTTATGTAACATCTATACAAATATTATAAAGCTGAAGAGTTTGTTTGTTTCTTGGAACGCGCTTATTTCAGGAACTACTGGTTCGAATTGAAAAAATATTTTTGTGTTGAATTGACCATTTATCGAGGAAGGCTTTAGGCTATATAACATCCCGCTGCAACTATTAGGAGCGAAGAAATAATGGAAAACGCGGACGAAGTCGCTGGCGGCCACTAGTTAATACTATATTTGAGTTGTTACATAAAGAAATCATTGAGAAGCTGTTTAGGAATAACACGACTACACTATTCTATGTTTATAACAGAATAGTAATGCTATGTTTAAATTAGTATTATTTTATAATAGACAAAATTTATGCTCAAAAGGATTTCATAAAAACTTTTTTAACCGCACAGATTTAAGCGTTGCAAGTAATCCCCTCAACCATTATAAAATTATATAGCTATATAGAAGTCCCAAAATCGCCTTATAGATCTCTTACTCGTTTTATTTAGGTCTGATTCCAAAGTTTTGGGATATTTGCCAAACGCTTAAGCTACATACCTCACTTTCAATCTAGATCATCCAAAAGGTCATAGGTCACGGGATTTTAGGTCGTTCTTTGTAATCAGGTCATAGAAGATGATACTCCATTATCAGCTTATTAATGTTATCATAGATAGGGCTCTTATTAGACTTTCCTTATGGATGAAATTGAATAGAGAATACGAGTTATATTTAACCAGGCGTAGTGTAGATAGGTAGGTAATGATTTCAAATGTAAACTGGAGTAATAGGCTCTCGTAATAATAATAGCTTAGCCATCCGAAGTACGGATCAGCTCAGGATAGTAATTTTCGGCCACCCATATTATGACTCGCCTTTGCGAATCGCCACAACCGCCACATCAGAGACTGAACGCGTTAGCTACAGCGCCATTTAAGATAAATAAGACTAGGATAATGTATATTTTATTTATTACATTTGTATCTAATTTCTATTTTGTCCTACCAAAATATGATATCACACTGGTTGTTTCCCGCAACTTTGCCTACGTAAATTGTACCATATGTCTGAATGAATGCATGCGTGAATTAAAATCGGTCCAGTAGTTCGGAGCCTATATTTGATTGCATATAGGCTCCGAACTACTGGACCGATTTTATTTACAAACTATCAAATCTTTGCTCTTTATTAATAGTACCACAGATTATATGATATAAATTTAAATATTGGCAATTATGAAGGCGGAAGTTAGAATCAACTTAGTTTAGAATTGACATCATTACACTATTTAATTTAAATAGCCGTTATTATTACACTACCAACTGTCTATTTTCTTAAACATAGTTATTTTCCATGCCAGTTGCATGGTAGAGATCGCTATTAAGCGGAAAAGCTGCCTTTTTTTTCTCTCGTTTTGATTTATGTTTCTAGTCTGAAAAAAAACGATAAAACATTTTTCTTTTACAAATACTTAACTATAAATGTGGAAAAGAAAACAAAAAAAAACCGCGGCATGAAAAATAGATTACATTGAAAAAATCTGACATAGTTTCAATGTCATTTCAATTTGGCTGCGTTATCTTCCGTATCATACGCATGCGTCGTGCAAACACGAACAGCTGACTGTAATGTTTCGTCGATATTTACAATTATGTAAATCAAGAATTCTTAATTGATACACACGTGATTAAGATTCTATTTATTTATTTTGGAAATTTAATACGATTTATAAGTTAACTGAATTTATTTTTGTAACCTTCACCTAGCGGCTGAAACCGATTATTTCTGTGCGTCCTTGTGACGTCACTGTCACGCCTGTAACAACGGTGTTGCCAATTTTGCTCAGTACCCAGATGATCGGGTATTTCATTATTTGTAGATCTCACTAATATAGAGTAAAAAGCGCTGTATATTGTATGTGATAAATGTAGGAAGTTTATAACAATTTAATAAATAATACTAAAATATTTACCTGACACTGTCATGTATATCTAAATATTCTTCCGTAAGAGGAATAGTTATTGATTTTTAAGAAATGTGACTCTATAGTAAATTAAAATTAGGAAATCATTTTGTAATAAGTATAGTAACTATGCTTAAGTTACTTCAATTTCAAAAAATATAGGTAGTTTTTCTTATCTCGTGACTGACTGGTTGTGTAAGATTTTCTATTTTCACACGACGTTAGTTAAAGCTACTTGAGATCTGAGCAATAAATAAAAAAAATAAATTAGGTCCACTAATTTGTAAGTGTTTTTAATTGTAAAACAAAATACGATTATTTCTTTCCAAAATCATAGCTATATAAATCGATAACGAGTTTGACTAACGAATATTTTATTAGTAATAATGTACGTATTACAAATATGCATTGTAGGTGGTAAATTAATCTGTTATTATTGCAACACTGTGCGCAGCTCTCAGTCGATAATGCGCGCGTAGACCGCACGCTGCTGTCAGCTGTGCATATTTACTGTTTTTAAGAGTAACTAGGCTTAAGTGTTCAGTGCATAATGCCTAACATTATAAACGAGGTAAAACTAGATTTCAAGGATGTCCTGCTCCGCCCTAAGAGAAGCACTTTGAAGAGTAGAAACGATGTAAGTTGATACTTTGCGTGTTTTACAAAACCGAAATAATTTCCGAAAGATCAAGGTTCACTGGGAAGGGCCAGTCTCTCGAGGTTTTCGTGTTGGTGTAATGAATTTGCAAAATTATATAATACTGGTTATTGTCAGTTACTCTCCTTTTCACTTCATTTACCATGTTCTCGAGGGAACATAGGGGTAGAAAATATATAAAAAACAGTCTTATATAAATATTCAATATCTCGTTAAAGTTTTGAGTTTTAATCCTTTCTATAATTTTCGAGTTTTGTTAATACGGAAACAATTTTTTGATATAATTAAGTTTAGCTTTTTAATTCAAATAGAATTTAAATTTGTGGAACTTTAAACCGAGATAGAAGATTGTAATTGATATATTATTTTATTACAAAACTTGCCCTGAACACTACAATAAATCAATGTTAATTTTCAACAAATTTCAATAGCTTCATTGAAATCGTTTTAAAACTAGCGTCTGTGCACGTTTCCATTTTCGTGATATCAGAATCCACATGAAATATCTATATAAATGCTAAAATATTTTTTCAAATTACTTCTATGGTTCCAAAAATACCGAAATACAACACATACAAAAATAGCAATCTAATAAAAGGGATAAATTTTCTTATTTAATTCGAGGTTTTATTTGTTTTTAATTTATAAAATCAATTTGTGAACTAAGAGCCAGTTGCACAAATGTGCATTAAAATTGACATTATTTTAAAGCGACATTACTGATGCAAATATCACATTCATTAGAGCTTCAAGGCATCGTTAGACATTAATGAACGTTTGTGCAACTGACCGTTTTTTGATGACGCCGTTGCAAAGTGGTTTGCACGCCGGTTTTCAAGAAGTCGTCATTTCTAAAGGGGTTCGATTCTCGGTTGGATATGGAAAATGGATTTTTCTATATTATCTCTTGTCTGGGTTTGGTAACTTCGATGACTCAGATACTCCATAATACGGGGGCTTTACTTACCTACTCTTGAAATCTGAGCAATGTATGTAATGTATAATATTTATTTATTTATAGTTTTGTATATTCTGATGTGCCGTTGACTATACATGGCAGCAATCTCGTAAATAACTATTAAAATCGAATTAATAATAAAAGAAACAAGTTTTATTATGGCTTGGCTAAAGAAAATTCTCATTGTTATCAGGGGACCTCTTAGATTCCAAATGTTCTACATAACGGTCCCCCAAATGCAATAAGAAAAATGACGTCACATGGCCGCCATATTGAATATTAAAAAAAATCACATACTTAGCCAGTGTTACACGGGATAATGTATGGTTTCTAATGATACCCTATACATTTATATCAGTTGAGTCTCTCACCAGTCCTTTTTTAGGGCAGACGTGTAATAAAAATCTTCAATCATGCATGGAAAGACTAATTAACGTTACGATCATTTTAAAAATGATATCTTTCTCATATTTATTGTGAATAAAGGAAAAATAACAAGCGGTAATTAAAAATAAGAAAATTAAATCTAACTTTTAAATTGCTAATGAAAGCAGAATGTGATTTTTTTAAATTTTGTTACAAAATTACTAATGATAAAAAAGGTAACTCGCTCACATTTCCAAGTTTAATTCCAATTTACGACGTCTTGTGGTAAATTTATAAACTAACGAATATCTATTTGTAAGATTTTGTGAGTAATGACTTGCAATTATCATTTTCGATTTTTATTTTAAAACTGTGTAGGTACCTTTAATAGAGGGATACTATTTTACGACGGCGAACAATGGCTGGTGGAGAGGAAGGAGAAGTGCCTAACACGTGACTTATTCAACCAATCAGAGCGCACATGGCGTTTGGTTATAGCTAACTTATTATTTTACGCGTGAGTCCAGTAAGTTTATGAATTTACAAGTTTACGAGTAATAGTCGATCAATTGTATTTAACTTGAAAATTTCGAGCAACTCCAACCAGGCGCAATAACTACAATTAGGCGCCAATTGAAAATCAGCGCCAAGTTTAGCAATCTGACAGTGAGCTGATTTGCCTGCCTATTTCGGTGACGCATTTTTATATTGTTATAAATTTATTGGAATTAGTGATTATTATAAAATGTGTAATATATATTTGGTTGTGCACCGGAATAAATACATTTCTTTCTTTCTCTCTTCTTTTTTCCATAGAAAACAACAAACTTTTTTTTTCCTTTTTTATGGATAATGGTCGGAACCGGAACCCTTTGAGCGTGAGTTCGCTTTTGAATGATATAAGTAGACAATTCACTTCGTTTGACATTTCCCAATAGCTTTTAAAGATATTTGTAACTATAACTTTAGTTAGATAATTCCGATTAACGTCAAATAAACGTTATCGTTCATTCAATATCTTTCAAAAAAAAACGTCGCGATCGTAATTGCTGTCACATGTCAAATAGTTGTGGGCTGAATATCTTTCAAAAAACAAATTCAAAGTGATCGTAATACAGTTTAATATTAGGCCACTGGAATTACCTCACTTTTTTGAAACAAAAAAAAAACATCACGCCCGGGGGAATAATAACATTTTCATAAAATTTCCACAATTTTTTTACTGAGGATAGGATAGAGGCACTGTTTAACGAAATACAGGTTTCAATAAGGTCTAAGTAAAAAAAAATATTATAACTACTTTAACGTTTATTGTACCGTATCGTAACTTAATACCTATGTAATACAGAAAAAAAATATGCGAGGAATATGTCGAATCGGTACTGTAATTTCCAATATGGCAATGCAGAAATAAAAAAAGTATTTACGTTTTGTAATGTCAGTACACCAATCACGCCATTGGAACTTTTAAGTGGGCTAAATACGAAACTGCCGTTCCGATTTCTGCACGTAAAGTAACAATTTATCTTCGGATCGTTGGTGATCGACAAATATTAGTTTGTCGTGAGTGATTTCGTTACGACAGCGAAGAAACGACCTTGTCTAGAACTGTCGTATTGTTTACTTTCTTATTTCGCTAACGACTATTAACTGATACAGTTATGAGCAATGGTTGCGATATCTTTTTGCGATACTACTTAAATATTATTTCCTTTTAGTTAATTTAACTTAAGCCCTGCTTAAAAGGGGACTCCAGTAATTTGTAATAAGTTTATTATCAGATAAGGTAAATAAAGACTTTTTCTTCTTTTAAGCCTTTTATTCTTGGCTTACATCATATTTTAAAGAAAAAAATAAAGATTTAATTGTCTGCATTGAATAAGCTCCGACTGTACTGGACCGATTTCTAATAGTCACGGGAGAACAGTTAGACATTATATCACTAGCTGTTTCCTGCGACTTCATCAACGTAAGTTATAGCACATGTCACTTCCGTATGATGTAACTTCTCTATGTGTAAGATTTTTTTAAATCTATACCAGTGGTTTCGAAGCCTTTTCAATTCAAACAAACAATTTCCGCTTTACGATATAAGTATAGTGTAATACATGGTAATTACTAGATTACTGTATATTTGTCCATTAACTTATGGTGTGTACAATAAAGAGTATAAGTCTTTTGTTCGAATGCTTGTTTCCGTTTGTTTCTCAGAAACCAACGGAAACATTAGCATAACGCGATGGTTGCTATCAGCAATAAAGTTACTATGTTATTTTGATGGACGCTCTCGCGATCGTATAATAGTGCGAGTGCTACTAGGAACTAGGGAGGCGGCAAAAACCTACCTACAAAGAGTAGGACCGGTCAAATGAGTAGCATGAAAATTGCCAAAAAATACGTAAAATTGCATAAGTATACGTGTGATACGAAATTCGGTAATGTAATATTCTCATACAATTTTATAAAAACGTTTTTAAATTCAAATTGCAGACAAATGACTCCTCCTGTCTTTCTAGTGTTATGGCTCTATTACATAATTCGATGAGCAGACGTGGATCAAAAAAGGTTGTGTGTAGTAGTCACCCAAAAATCGGTTAAGTGCTAATCGGAGTACCTACCTATGCAATTCGATTATGATCAATTTAATGCATTTTTTACAGATATATTTACAAAATACAGGAAATAATTCTTACCATCGCCCAATCTTTTTTAAAGTATGATTAAGTATTTCTAATAAAAAATATATGTTATTTATATAATTGTAAGAATTATTGCCTGTACATTATCTGTAAAAAATACACTAAATTTTCTAAAATTGTGATGGAAATTGACACCATATTTTAATGAAGTAATTTTCAATCTTGACGACTTTGTATGAAATAAAACGGAGAAAAAAGTAGCTCTTGCAAAGTTTTTTCTCGGTATAAGGTCTCCCACCATATACTTACGAATCGATAGCATAGAGTTTCACGAGTGCTTTTGATTTGATTTGATTGAAGGAATTGTAGATTTTATTGAGTAAGTGTATATTTTTTGTGTTATAGTATATTAAAAAAAAACTTCTCGGAATAAAAGTAAATGTCGCTACGTAGTTTAAAATATTTGAAATGTTCAATGAAATTTTGCATTGCTATTTTCTCATTTTGGACAATTATATCTAATTTTTATAAGTTTCGTGATTAATTTTAAATTATTGTCGAATAAAAACTCACTTACCTATATTAACCCTAAAAACAATACACTCCTTTTTGGATAGTCTTGTAAAAAAATTCCACACTACTAACAACATTTTCCTATATACATATTAGTATACAAAAGTTACTAGATATTTTCCATATCAACGAAAAAAGTATGTAGTGTTTGTGTATTGCGTCTATGATTTCAAGTACATATAAACATACAGAATATAAAGTGACAATCAACATCTAAGTCTTATGTGAACATGTAACATGTAATTGTCCCGAAACGTCGATAAAACTAAAAAACAAACGCATTGAAACAGTTTAAAAGTTGTTTCATTAATATATAAATTATATTTGAATCTCTTTAAGACAAATCGTGGTCATATACACTACAAATCGATCATGTTATTAAACACGTGTACACGATCGCCATCGATTATGTACTTTAAATTTAATTAATTAAGGATTATAATAGCTTACGGAAATTCTATAGATTAACTATAGATTTATTAGAATTAACAGTTTTCTAATGATTAATTGCGGTAAAATTTAATAATATCATAGTCGTATTTGTAGTTGAAAGCTGCCACGTGCGATTTTAGGTAATTTGTTTCATAGTAGGTAATAGTTATTTACGGGATCGGTACTACCCAGTACTACTACCTAAGGCGCTTATATTTTGGGGGCGGCATGACATGGCAAGTAGGTTATGTTTGTTCTGATTATTCGAACCATTTTTTTTATGCCTGGCCTACAATATTTGGCCGAGCCCTAACGCTGCACCCCACTGTTTAGCAGGCCTTTTTATACATTCTCTTTTATTCCAGTTCTTTTTCATTTTTTCTTAACCTTTCTTTCTTCATTCCTTATCTTTCTTTTATTCTGTTCCTCATTCATTCCTCGAGCGACCAGGGCCGTCACATCTATTTCTATTTATTCCTATTCTATCTTACTCTAATGTTTTATTGTTATTAATGACTTTTACTCTTTCCTTTATTTACTTTTACAATTCTATTCTTAATTTTATTTTATTTTTTATATATGTATTACTTCTATGTTTTACATTGTTTCTATGTTTGTTAAACATTGACACTGTTTATTATTCTTTATTCTATTACTATTTCTTTTGGTTATATTATTCCATTACAGTATTTATCTTATTCTATTACAGTATTTATATTCAACCTTTAAAATGCACTATACCTTAAAAATACTTTTGTTCTTGAACATCAGTCCAATTCCGCGGTATTCAAATGTACAACATTTTTAGACCAACAGTAGGTTCTTATTACCCTTTATTTCGCCATTAGCACAATTATACTCTATAATCAGTGTACCTGCGTTAGTCTTTTATTTAGTCGTGATTTTTATGGGCCTTGTTCCAGTGTTTTGCCTAAGGCTCCAAGATTTATTGAGCCGTCTAAGTCTAAAATTCTCGTATCACCCTTTTAGTTACCTTACTCCCCCGAATCGGCTTGACCGATTATGATGAATTTTTATATGAGTAGGTCTAAATAAAGTTTCTTAATAATTTTTTATGCCCCTAAGTGATAAGGGTAGCCCATAACAAAATTACATGTGAAAACAACGTCTGTCGGATCAGCTAAAATTTTATAATCCATGATCACGTAATTACGGAGTTGCAAGGATTGCCAACTATACTCTAAAATAAATTATATCACATACGGCTAGTTGTACTAACGTCCATTAGGTTTTAATGACGTCTTAAAGCTCTAATTAATGTCAAATTTGTATGGGTAATGTCGCTTTAAATCTATGACAATTTTAACGGACGTTTGTGCAACTGGCTGGCTAGGCATACTATATAGTCTCTATTAGTGGACACTAAAATGCTCTTTTTATACAATGTTTAGTATACTATAGCCATTCACACATACAAGTATAATGCATACGTATTAAGGTAACAAAAAAAACCTATTTGAAAATATTAAATAAATACTCTTTTTTATAAGTCCGTACTCTTTAATATGAGATATACTTTAATAAACTTCTAATAAAAATTGTCAACCCTAGCAACATCGTCGAAATATCGGGGACTAGATAAAAATAAGGTAGCATGTATACACAAATACTTTGATAATAATAAATAATTATGTTACAAGAATATTAATGTCAATGGTTTCATGAGTTACGTTCAACTCGATATCGTGATAATATCACATTTAAAAGAAATATCGATGGCGGAGTTAGAAGGGTAAATAAATATTCGTTGAACTGATTTGGTAAATAACGAAATACCCGAAGTATTATTGAGGGAGTATAAATTACTATGGTATAAAATTCTCTACTATGAGCTAAATAAAACCGGGTTTATATTGGGCTTGATAAAAAAGCGTGAAAAAAGAAATTGCGTGGGCGGAGAAGTATGTATGCCTAGGACAGTTAAAGGTTATAAATAAAAGAAGTTCAAAGTGTTCATATTTTTATATTTGATGGATTTTGCATTCACAATGCTATCTTGGAAAATATTCTTAATGAAAAGCATTCACCAGGACTTCTCCAGGACTCAAACGTAAGGGCAGTCGCCCGGATTGCGAAAAGTCGTCCTTTCGTAATCCGGGCGACTGCCCTAACCATTGAGCTTCACAGGACCTAACAGGACTGACGAACTTTTCAAGCACTTGTTACTTTTCGCTACTAGTGAGCGTATTTTCATCAATGTTCAGACAATCCACCCAAACAGCTGAAAGAAATATTTTTATAAATATTTTTTAAACTTCTGATTAAGATGAAAATTTGTTCTTTGATCAATTTTCCATTCACAATGCTGTCTTTGAAAATATTCTTAATATTTCTTTCGGCTTCGGAAGGCACGTTAAGATGTTGATCTCGATTGTATCTGCAGTCGTTAATACTCATGAATCCGCACTAGGCTCGTAGTGGGCCATGGCCCAGTCTCCCTTTTCGATATGATTTATTATTATTATTAAGACTACGACCTCCGTAGCATAATGTTTCGTCATCCCTCTCGGGTTCGATTATAGGTCAACTTTAAACTTTTCTGTATTGTCTCCGAGTGTTGTTTACCTTGGTTGTTTCAGATTTCCCTGGTTATTTTATTAGTGGATCGGATATTCGCTTGATGTGTTCTGTTCAAATTGCTGTGACCTTAATTTGGAAAGAGGGAATTTTATCAGTAGAGTAACAATGTTTGCGAGTTGGCATCTTGCCTGGTTACCGCGTTCTCTGCTACAACAACAAATCTAGCATACAGTTTATATAATCGCCTTTGTTGAATTATAAACCCGGCAAAAACCGGGCGCCGTGGCACATCTGTTTTGCTCTAATTATTTGAACCGATGCAGTGTCTTAAAATGTAAAATTTTAAGACTAGCAGTACTTAAGGAATTTATTTTGTCATTGGCAAAATCACACTCTTTGATCAGTGATCAGTATGTTTATGATTATATATAGTAAGCACATTGTATAAGTGTAAAAGTTTGTGGAGAAAAAATAAATGAATTATTATTATTATTATTATAGTGTAGGTACTGTAACGTCCGAGCACATTACTATAGGTAGGGTTTACTCTTCGGACGATTTATGGTCAAGTGCTGGCCGTTAATATTTTAAATTATTACTTTTTCTTATTCGAATTCGCGTGTTCGTGTTTAGCTGGTGAATAGTCTTTCTTTCTGAACGAGACCAGCTTAGGGTGAGCATCGTAGTATAATTATTGTAAGTGATTAAATGTAATTCTTATCAGAAATAAATCAAGACTAAGGAGTTCTACCAGTTTTTTCATTGCGCCACCCACCTCCACCATTAGACTAAGTTGCCATAAGTCGCCATAGTACCTACGTGGTATCTACTGTAACCGTTCGTCGCACCACTGTTTAGGTTTCCGCATGCAAACTTTTTGTCTTTGATATTTAACATATATATATTTTTTTTATTCACTTTTCGTTAATTAAAATTTTAAGTAACGTAATATGCTCTTTTTGAATTTCAGTTCATGAAAATTCATCTAGTGAAAATATATCATTAATTTGTGATACAAAAATGTTAGAATTCATCAAAATACATTCATTATTATTAGTTATGTTATTGTCAAGTATCATAAATCAGTAAAGACGATTGTAAACATATTACTAAAATTCTATTTGTTCTACAACTCGAGAAAGGGTTTTTTATTTACACTATAAAATATATCAAATTATCAAGCTTAGTCAGTCTTTCATTTACCTTAGCACCGAACCCGTCGCACTACATTAGTCTTTTAATTTGTTATAAGTTTTTTATGTGATACGCTCTATTATTTTGCCTAGGGCGCTAAGTTTTATCGAGCTGGTACTTTCTCGATTAAAACCTTTTTCGAACGAATAGAAAAACTTTTTTTTTGTTCCAGGTTGATCTGTACAGGGAGATCACATTCCGTAACTCCGGACAGACGTATCGCGGCGTGCCGGTGATGGCCAGCAATATGGACACCGTAGGCACCTTCGAAATGGCACAGGAATTATCCAAAGTATGTCATAGTTATTACCTTTTAGTACTATAAAGAACATTGTGTCGACTCCTGGCACAGAGACATTTAGCATGAATTTAAGACTTCCCAAGTTTCCCAATGGTCCTCTACTTTGTGACCCTACAACTTGAAGTTTGGATACACTGTCTTGAATGAAACTTGACTTTAACATATAGATAGAAGTCTTTTATTGTACGCTGGTTTAATGACAGATGGCAGGGCTTCGATGTCCTTTAAGTCTCACGTGTCAATATATATTAATTTTTTTATGTGTAAGTGTAATTTTACGCCAACGTACCTTTTCAGCATGGACTTTTCACGTGTATACACAAATACTACACGATTGATGAATGGAAAAAATTCGCTGCTGATCATCCCGATTGCCTAGAACAAATGGGTAAGTGAAAATAAGGTTAAAAATAGGTGTCTTTAACTTGAGACAGGGTCAAATAAGGGGTGAATAAAATTATTCGTGATCAGCTATTTAATATCCTCAGTGAAAACGCCATTACTGGTGGTATCACGCGGGCTCCAATCTTTTCCTGCACTTCAACCCGAATTTTTCAATGATGAATGTACATAGGTCTCTACCATGCTCTTTCAACTTGAGCGGTTAGCTGTTCGTTGCATTCAGTCTCCCCCCACTTCAATTAGGTTTATTTGGTCCATCGATTAAGTTGCAAGACGGATGGGTCAAAGACTGGTAATACAGCCAGGATTAGTCGCTTAACGCGCCTTCAGAAGTTTGGAGGAGCTCGAGTAAGTCAAGCAAGTGCCAAAAATGCACTTGCTAATGTTGCTCCTTTACCTTATAATTCACAGTCAACATCATCATCATCAGCCCTTTTATGTCCCCACTGCAGGGGCCTCGACCTTCCTTGGGGATAGTTCAAGAGAATGGGCTATGACCCTTCGCGCTGGCCCAATGCGGATCGGATGGCATTAACAACTGCATTTCACAGTAAAATTACTTAATTACCTTTAGCGGCTATACCGTGTACCTCTGTAAATAACAAAAATAGTGAGTGTATAAACGAATACAGAGAAAATCAGCAAAGTCTATTCAGCGTCTGAAAATAAGAGCTTCTTTATTTCCACAGCTGCAAGTTCTGGCACGGCGGAGGCAGATTTCGACCGGTTGGCTGAAATATTAACCAACGTGAAGGACTTGAAGTTCATTTGTCTCGACGTGGCCAACGGTTATTCACAACATTTCGTGGAATATGTGAGGAGGGTGCGAGCTGCCTTCCCAACGCACACAATTATTGTGAGTCGACTTTCATATCAATTTCTTCTTCTTGGATCCGGTCAATACAATTTGGCAGACACAAACTAGACGCATAGCAACGCATATTTTCAATATACCTCCACATAATAATACGAGTAAAGTATGTAATGTGTTCATGTAGCATGCCGAGATACAGACAATTTGTAAAAGGTCATAATAACCAGCAGCGTGAATGACGACTAATTAGCTCGCGTAGCATGAAAAATTTTCGGTGTAGACAATTTTATGTTAGTGTGTGTGTTACACATGCAGGTGTGTAGTTGAAGAAGCAGTAAATGGAAAAGTCTGCTGCAATGCTCCCATCTAAGCCATGACTCTCAGCCCTGAGAAACCGAGTTGGAGGAACTAATATAGCAATTTACAATACGGCCACCCTAACAAATAATCGAGTGCACTTTAGAATTCTTAAAAAAAGTTCTGGGCCAACGCAAATAATACGGACGATTTGAATCCTCTTTTGAAATTGTGAATAAATAAATATAATCTATCCATAAATGAGAATTCATTACTTATTTACAGGCTGGAAACGTAGTCACGGGGGAAATGGTGGAAGAACTTATACTGTCCGGGGCTGATATTATTAAGGTGAGAAGTATGACGTAATTAGTGAGTGAAAAATTAAAAAATAATTTGTTTTAATTTATTTGTTTTCATGTGATACTGATTGTATCTTTACTTTTTTCTGCTTTACTTTGATTTAAGATGTGGTGTGAATTATTTAAATTGAAATGAAATTATGTTCTTTGATGATTTTAACTGACATTGGTTCACAGGTGGGCATCGGTCCTGGTTCTGTTTGCACGACTCGTATCAAAACGGGCGTTGGATATCCACAGTTGTCAGCTGTCATTGAATGTGCAGACGCAGCACACGGTCTCAAAGGGCATATTATTTCGGTATATACTGCATTTATTTTATTATATTTGAAAAAAATTGAAAAATCATGATTCACCAGAATTATTCAAGTAATACGTCTTTCCCCGCTGTGCAAAAAGGGAAACCCACAGCATTACATATTAGACGTTATGGCTATTGGGAAAATACTCAATATAAATTTTAATCATACGTTTGGTCATCATCAGAGTTGTTAACGTTGGGTAAACGTAGATTCTAGACGCACTATACTATCAAAGAGTGAATAATGCAGTGGGTTACCGCCTCTGAAGTTGTACAAAATGCCCCTTCTGTTATAAACATCATTATCGCAGTGGTGTAATATTTTTTATCTATCTCTTGCTGTAGATAGTATGAGTCTGTAAGATACCCAAGAATTTATTTCAAAATAAATATAAATCTAACACAGCACATGTAGTATGGCGCATTATTTGTATCATTGATAAAATAACTAACTAAATACACTGTTATTGAAATGTCTTAACCTTGAATGAGTTTGAGAATTGATCTCGAGTGTATGGCAGCTTGGGCAACTAGTAGTCTTGACGAGCATTTCGAATGTAAGACTTAATTCCTGCTCTGTTTTTTTTCATCGTAAGGACGGTGGTTGTACTTGTCCGGGGGATGTGGCGAAGGCGTTCGGTGCAGGCGCGGATTTCGTGATGGCAGGCGGGATGTTCGCGGGCCATGACCAGTGCGGGGGGGACGTGGTCACACACGCCGACGGCAGGAAGGTCAAGCTGTTCTATGGCATGGCCTCCTCCACCGCTATGCTCAAGCATTCCGGCGGTGTAGCAGACTACAGGTCGGCTGAAGGTGAGAGAGTAATATTAAGTCACTGCGTTGTTATTTGTAGATGGAAAATAGAAATAAGCTTATAAAAGATATAAAAATAAAAAAGATTCAATAAATATGTTAATAAAAGATACAAAAACTTTACATATTCGATCTATAAAAAAATATAAAATACAGCGGTTCATTTATAGGTAAACTCGAGGTAATTTAATATTATAATGTTGCGTGATAGGGTTCGGGATAAAAAACGCCAATTGAATTCACAATCTGACTTTATTTAACCAACAAAATTATAAAAATAAATCAGTAACAAAACTCACACTGTAACTCTACCTATCACGTCATTAGAGTCACTTCCCAACACTATTAGATTGTCCAGATAGTTCACTTCACTAGTTATCGCTTCTTTCGCTTTCGATCGCTCTCGTATTCAGCTCACTAGTCACTGAAAGAATGCTGGGACTGGTAGTCCATCACGTATTTATGCAGTGAGTGAGGAGTGACACTTTTAAAGCATCTGTACCATGTCCGTCAATATCACTTGAGTACTCGGTATCGATACCAGAAGCCGATACTTCGATCGCTGAACCTTACCTAGAACATTCTAAAAAGCAAAAACGAATTAATAAAAATGACATTTAAGATTAGGCATAAAAAAGTTTAAGTGTCAAGAAAGTACAACAACGTGAACGGTGTCGATGTTGCTATGCATCGTTACAAATAGGGATAAACAAAACACATTCAAATTCAAAAAGTGCTCTTACACCCACATGTTGTAAGGGCGTCATATTTGTTCGAACGTACTTCTACAAACTTTACTCTATACATTTCATTTATAACCCATGTCTTTCAACTGTATGTACAGAGAGAACGTCGTCAATTCGTATTATTTTGGCAATGATGGTCACTTAAGGTTAATGACCGATAATTATCAATGTACCTTCAGTTTATTAAATTACATTTTAAGATAAATATTAATATGCATTTAACTTGTTTCTTTGTAAACATGGTATATTAACAATAGTAATGCCTAGTAGCCCAAACGTCTATTAAAATTGACTTTAATACGGGTGTAGACAGTAAATGAAAATAAATTCCTATTTTTTTCTTATAGTCTTTAATTGATTTAATATTTTTTAATATAATATAATTATTTAATCAAAGTATAAACCATAGTTATCTATGTACTTTTGCCATCTCATAGGTAGTTCATTGATACCCTTATTAAAAAAACCATTCGGACGGGAATCAATAAAATCTTTGAAGGCGATTTGCACTGCCCCATCGGAGTTGAATTTTTTTCTGTTGCAAGAAGTTATCCAAATTTCGAAAAAAATGGTAATTTGTTGGACCAAGGTCCGGGGAGTACGGTGGATGTCTTAGACATTCCAATTGAAGTTCTTCTAATTTAGTAGCCGCCTGTTGTGTGGTCTAGCGTTTTCGTGAAATAGCAGTGCCGGAGAGCGATTGACCAGCCGCGATTGTTTAACAGCTAGTGTTTCCAGCTTAGTTTGCAATTGCTGACATTAGACGTCTGCCCTAATTGTCTGGCCAGATTTGAGAAACCAGTAATGAACGACACCGGCACTAGTCCACCAAACGCTTACAAGTAACTTTTTTGGGATCAATTTTGGCTTGGGGCAGGAGTTGGCTAGCATGCCAGGGTCCAACCATTGCGATGAGCGCTTCAGATTATCGTAGAGAATCCACTTTTCATCACAGGTAATGATTCGATTTAAAAACCCTTCATTATTGTGCCGGTTAAGTAATGTAACGCAGCAGTCGAGGCGCGTTTGCCGATTTGCATCACTCAATTTGTGAGGTACCCACCTTTCAAGCTTTTTAATCTTTCCAATTTGCTTCAAGTGGATTAAAACAGTAGAAGTCCATTGAAACGATGTAAATAGGACAAACAGAAGAAAAAAAATAAATAGGACAAACACAAGAAAAAAAATAAATAGGACAAACACAAGAAAAAAACAAAATGCCGCCTAACGAAACACAAATACATGTGTTCAAAACACAAATACATTCCAAATTTGGAATTCCCAAACAAGGAGGAGAGATTTGTGATTAAAGTGGCCAGTACAATAAAACGCCAATTTCATGTGTAAGGGCCTTATATTATCAATAGTCACACTTTAATGCTTACTATATTTATAATATTGCTTAAACTAATCATGAAAAAAACAAATATTGTATGCTATTTGTTACGTGACCGCAAACAGCTTGTGACGTCACGCCCTTCTTCATAGCGACGCCATGACATAAGTGGCGTTTTTTCTACGCCACTTCTGTCATGGCGTACAAATTAGGAAAATTAAATTAAATAGTTTTTTTAAATATATTTATGTATATTTATAAAATAAAAATACAAAATGTTATCTTTATGCCTATTTCAATGACAGCGACTTTACTGAATCTTTTCAAATTTGGAACCTTATTAAATGCAATGTTGTACAACTGAGTTATTCAAAGAAAAAAAAAATATCTACTTATTAAAAATTCACCCAGTTTAGATATTTTTTTGTGTAAAGTTCGTTTTTGCCGTCATTCCCTCATAATCGCCTCACGTTACAGGTAAAACCGTGGAAGTCGAATACAGGGGTGACGTAGGTGTGACAGTGCGGGACATTCTGGGCGGATTACGTTCTGCGTGTACGTACGTAGGTGCGGCAAGACTACGGGAACTTCCTCGCCGAGCCACCTTTATACGATGCTGCCGGCAAGTCAACGACTCATTCTCGTAAACATTTACAAACTCTGAATTTGAGATGCAATAATTAATAGTAAGACCTGACTGATATAGCATGTCGCTAATCTTTGCCTAGACCTGCATATTCCGATGCGGTCAAACGTATAATAAAATCAGTCCTATTTCAATAAACATAAGGTGTGTTTCACCCATACTCGGGCATTCAGAGAGCCAACCGCTTCACTCTCTCGCTATAACTCTAGCTATAGCTACAAAAATATTTTATCTGTTTTAGAAAGGAATATGTTTATATTTTTATAAATTTGTTGTTTTATTATTTACATATTTTATCAATTATTTTAGTTGTTATAGTTTTTTGAATTATAGTAAGTTTGATTAAATTAATAAAGTCGAATTTAGACAGACAAAGCTATTTCGAAAACTGACATAACCTAAAATGTTTGCGTAAATATGTAAATAATAATAAACATTTCGTTGTAAAAGAATATTTATATCAATAAAAGGTTTTTACAAGCGTTTGTTAGTGCGCAAATCTTGGAACTGAAATATAATCCACTTCCCAATGTCCGATAGATTTGAAATTTTACATAGATATGTAAGTCAGATGACAATGCAATGTTATGGTGTCAGTAAGCTGATATGATGATGAAATCGGAAGGTGGTTATAAAAATTTTGTGATGACATGACCCAACTGTATCGTGTTTGGGCTCGTTTGATCCGTCTTTATGAGGACTTTGGTACTGGATGCTTTCTAGACCAAGATCTGGTGATGATGGAGTTGGAAAGCGTTCATAGGAACTTAGCAATGAAATAACGCAACTGCATCGTGTTCGAGTTCTTTAGTCTTTATGAGAACAACAACATATTGAGACTAAAAAAACAAAAAGTAAAAAAATATATAAAAAAGATACTTTTATTTGTACTCACATAAATAAATCCTAAATATTAAAAGTACTTATAATTAAAATTTTCTGTAACAGTTACTGACTTGAAAAGCTTGCAGCGCGTCAAAATATGTGTCTCGTCTCGTCTCCGAATTCATTAGCCTTATAAGCTTTTCAAGTCAAATACTGTAAGGGAAATTTTGATTTTATGTACTTTAAATGTTTAAAATTTATTTATTTAGCTTTTAGTACGTAAATAAAAGCTGGTTATTAAAAACTTTTTTATTTTTAAAGCTTAAGTTTCAGAGAGAGAGTTAGGCATTCGCCCTGCAGGTGCACTATTTGAATCATTGTGATTATCTGATATTTACCGCGTTACGCAATTTCGAATACTGTTCAATTACTCGTACGTCGGTGAGCTATATTAGTTGAGTCTTACTTTAACTTATTTTATGTACAATACTCGCTGTTTTAGCTTGCTGTCAGATAATAGCGAGTCTTTAATGATTTAACATTGTGTTTTATAAGTAAATACGCACATGATCGCACAAAATGTATCAACGTAAACTATTTAGTGTTAAACTATGGAAAAGCCATTAAAACAATGAATTTAGACCTCTACTTTTAATGTGTTAAGGTATAAAATCAAGTGGGGAAATTCATCAGTATTGATAGTAATGTGCAGTCAACAACAAATCACATTACAAAAAACCATCAGATTTCTACTATTGTTTTTAGGATTTAATGCATCAGAATTAGAGTTCAAAATTTCCTGCGGAAATTTGACACTTAATGACAAATTGATGCTATAGAATTTTATACTTATGTGCTTGTATTATTTTGTATATTTAATTAAAACTATTTCTTGAATATTTGCATCTCAATATTCATAACCTTAAGGTAATAGTCACAAAGGTTAGATAGAAAATTAATAAAATCACAAGTAGTCATAGTTTCGTGCTTGCAAGATCGCACAAGACATTTTATCTATGTGATTAACTATTATAGTAATAAGTTTCATTAAGCTATAAGGCGGGTACACATTAGGACATGCCTCGCGGGGTACTTACTGTGTGACTGAACACACATTTGAACATGACTTTAATCAAATCACAAATGACGAAAAGAATGTGAATTAGCTATGTTTGGTATTCCAGTACTCTATAAAAAAGGATCGAGGCAGAACTCGTATTCAACACTCAATAAAAATAATATACTTAATACTTATTATGAGTATGTTCTGAAACTGTAAATTTAAATAGTACTATCAAAATTATCGATATAAGTAATAAAGATTGTGAAATGATGAAGTTTGATTAAATCTCTTCCAAATAACAAAACATTATGCCTGTATTAAAATCGGACTAGAATACCGTGTATTTATTTATTCTCCATTACGAAATAGCAAAGAACGAACTAAATATTAGCATGAAATTCTAAGGCTGACAAATAAAAAATAATACGGTAATGTAAGGACAAATAACAACACAATAAGTATATCTGTATCATAAAATTCGTCAGTACAAAGTCTACAATATATAGTCTAATGTGCCACCGTGTGTACACTCACAAAAGCCACGCGTGGTTGTACCGCGAGTGTGAACCCGCCTTGATCCACGCCACCGACTGTGTGTGTACTTGATCCACGCCACATAACGTGTGCGTGAGTGATTAGTAATTAATGCGACGGCGAATATTATTATAAATATATAATGCAGGATTCCGTTCCTCAATTCTATCATAATGCGGATTTAATTAAAATCAAGTCCATTTTGAAGTATGTTTTATATTTATTTTATCACAAGTTTTATCACAGAACACAGAAATAATGCCAGTCGGTAAATATTTAAAATATAAATTTGACAAAGTTACAAATATATCCGCATGTGTACATTAGCGAACTGTAAGTGTTGCTAGTATGACAAGAAGCGTCGCCATAGTAACCCGATCACTTTACTTTTTAAACAGTTACCGTCTTATTGTACAACGAGGACTAACTTAAGTTAATCAAGACGTGGACAGAAATGCTCCCATGCCTACCTTATTTTTATCGAATCTCAGATATTTCGAAAATAAGATCACGCTGACTTTATAACATAAGGTACATTCAACTGCACGTTAGACTATACAAAAATGTAAAATTTTGATCATTGATGGTAGATATCAAATCCATTGCAAAATTTGACATACTGTGATAACCTGACTTGCAGTCGTGTGTACAATTGTACATGGTAGCAATTCCATAATAAAGTATTACAAAAATCCAGGTGATTTTGGACGACAGTTTGATATTTTTGTAGCGCGTCTTCTCTACCTGTACTCTGACTTTCTGTGTTCTGTATAAACATATGTATATCTTACAAGAATTAAGTTAAGCAAAGCAAATATCTTCTTACTATAATACAGTTTCTTTTCAGTATCTATTTTCGGATACTACTGTACGTATATAAGTCAATATTCAAATATAACTAATAAGCTTAAAGATTTCAGCTGGTGCTAAATGTAGTATTATTCTTAGAGATTGTGGATAATATGAATGGCCAATTAAATTAATTTTCTTTAATATTATTTAAGTACATACTTATTATTTGAAGCCAATGAGCTATCATTTTAATAAGTCATTTGATGAGTTTGTAATTACCATTGAACACATGTTTAAAACGAAATGATTTTATGAGCTTGACTTTAGAGTATCTAAAGACGGCAAAAACATACAATCACTACAGGATTACATTTTGGCAATCATGTCTACATTTCAATGGCTATAATGTTTTTTGGTATAAGTCGCATTGTAATAATAGTCCAAATTGTTATGATTATTTATCATTTGTAATATTTTTTTTTAGTTATTTGGTTTATTTATTATCTTTATTATCATTAAACTTATTTATTATTACTTTCAACCGTAGTTTTTGTTATATAAATGCAATGAAACAAATTTAAAGTAACAAGTTTTTATAGCACTATCTAGAATTAAAGTTTATCTATTTTTTTATCTGTTAGTATGTTGTATTTATGTAAAGCTAGGCACATACTTAGTAGTATACATATACCTACTAACCAAAAATTCGGCTCTAAAGAAAATATAGTAACATAATCTTAATATATGTTTACACATTAAAAACTAGTTTGATATGTCGATATATTTATCAACTATTCAGAGTAAGTATATAACATTTTAGCAATGATTAAATTTTACATATTAATGGCCTCATAAAGGCGCGAGCTGGCTACCCGCCGTCACACACGCCTTAAGTCTGTCTTGAGTGTATATCTAGCTTAATAAATTATCAAATTAAATATGTATTAAAATCTCAGTTAATGATACATTAAAATAAGGCCTACATTTTGGAAGATTTTAATTGTAGGCCTATATTTTTATTAGCCAATCGACGACAGGTTTGCAATTGAAAGCTTGAAAGTGTCAATAGTGAATTCCTTTCCTTAACCTAACCTGAACCTAATTTTTAAATAAAATACACTTTGTTATTTATATTCTTTTTATTATTTATTTCATATGTCCTTCTAATAATTAAAGTTTATAATTTCATCCAATACTATCCTCTATTTGTCATATTTAAATATTATCCTTCAAAGTTGAAAACAGATTGCTGCATAACAAGGCCAACTTATGCCTACTCTATATTTTCATATTTATTATTATCACCACGTATCTGGATTATTTTAAGTACTTCTATTTCCAATACACTGGGCCTTATTAGGCTACAGTACCTTAGTCTTAATATTGAATCACTTTTAGATAAGGAAATATAAATTATGCATTTTCTTAATATACGAATTCATTTAACAAGATATTTTCAACCAATATATCAATCAGTTTTAATATTATGTACATCATTATCATTATCAAAAACCGGTAAAAGTCGTGTTTACCTAATAAGGCATCCATTTATTAGGTAAACCCGACTTTTTCCGCAAGGAGATAACTGTAATTTCCTGAAGTTTAATGTTTTAAATTTAATCACAAAAATTAAACGTGTTTGCAGTTTTGGAAATTGTTACATTTTTCAGATGTTTCGAGACGGACCTTTCTGGTACTTTAGGTACTCTTTAGGTTCAACATTCGATATATGTATAGAAGACAGACTACGCTATAGTTCTCAATACATCGAAATTGATTTTAGTCGG